ACAGCTGCAGGTATTGTTCAATTTCTCCCGCATTGCTGACTCGGTTTTGCAATAGCTTTATCATTTTTTTCAGTTTGTCTCCTTCAGAAAGAATTCCGGCCTAAAAACATTGTCGTATTAGAAAAAAAAGTGATTTAAATATGTTATAGCATTAGTTAGAAATAAACTGAAAAGTCTAAGACTGAAAGAAAAGACTCATTTTTCCTTAGTCACACGACATCTGTTGAAATATTCACATTGATTATTTACAATTTTGCTATTATATAGCACCTCGGTTATATAAAGGAAAAAAAATTATTTCAAAATTGTGTTTAAAACTAATTTTAAAAAATATTAAAATTGAAGATTATTATGAATTATTGCACGCAAATTAAACTGGTATCACTAAAAAGCCAATTTTTCTAAATTTTAAATTGCTTTAAAAATGGATTTGTGGATAATATGCTCTGGAGTAATTTAGGAAAAACTGTAAAATTCTGCTTAAATTTTAATTAATTAAATTTTTAATCAACATTTTAAAAACTGTCTTAATGAAGCAGTTTGTAGATACTTCTATCCAAAAAGTATCTACAAACCAAATTTGGTAGCTGTAGATCCAAAGGTCTGCCCTGTAGATAGCTTCGAAAGACTTTTGCATTTCGCATGTCTCAGTCGAGAGATAGTATACCTATAACATCATCATGTTAAAAATATTTTTTTTTGTAGTGTACTCTACCAATCGATGAAGTTTTACCCTTGTGTTCTGATTCATCTTGTGTAGCTTACTTGGTTTGGCATACTATCTAGGCTTGGCATATCTATCTCTTGCTTGGTTTTAACACGTTTTTGATATTTCAGGAGTTGCCCCAACGATAGACCTTTCACATAACATGAGGATCTTGAAGCTCCCAATGGATACAAAACCAGGTCAGTACACTTTCTGTTGTTACACTGATATTTTAATATAACATTTATGAGTCAAAGCTCTTAATTGTTGATTATCACTAAAGTGCAATACGATTCTGAGAAAAACATGTGTGATGGAATTTTTTGAATTATCAATAACGAATGCAGGTTTTGATCTTAAAAGGCAAAAGATGGTGGCTAGACTTAAGAACACGGTACTATCCGTTCGCCAAGTTCTCGACACTTTCGCCTGTCGTTAGGTTACAACCGTGTTAACTTTAACCAACACGTTCACGTTATCGCTTGAAAAAATCCAAGTTTGGAGGCAGTACCGTGTTTATAAGCCTAACTCAGATTGTTATGTAACTTTAGTTTGAGACGTCAAATCCATGTTCTCAAATTAAATTCGTAAAAAAATGGAGATGATTAGAAACATTAAGTATAATCATTTTGTCTACAGTGATTTTGAAGACTGTATTTCATGAACATGATAAAAACGTTCATTTTTCAATTTTGAAAAGGAATAATTAGATATAACAATTATTATCTCTCCTCCTTCTTTGTTACTTTTTTTACAGTGATTTAGTTAGTGAGTTTTTTTACAGTGATTAGTGCGATTGATCTGGCCATGGTGTGTAAGCTCTGCTCACATGCCCTTGATGCACTGCACTGTCCAAAAACTGAACCATCTGATTGGCACAGCACGGCCAGATCTGGAACTTGCGCCATAAAATCCAAACTCACTCATACCATAAGAAACTGCACTCCATGACCTACCCTTAGTCTTACACAATCGACTGTAAATGTCGGTTCCACTAATAACTTTTGTCGGCAAATATTGGATAACAGCGTATTGAGTATTTCACAGCACCATCCGAAAACTGAACCATCTGATTGGCGCATCACGGCCAGATCTGGAACTTGCGCTATAAAACCCAAACTCACTCATCCGATGAAGAAACTTCACTATGTGACATATACTTAGTCTCATACACAACCAACTGTAAAATTCGGCTCCACTAATAACTTCTGCCGACAGGTATTGAATTTATGCGTGTTGAACTTCTTTGGTCGAATCCATGGTATACCATTTCATGTTTTGTCGTTTCTGTTTCACTCAGCGACACAACATCACCACTAACCGCTCTATCTCATAATTCACCTGCTACCACTAACCGCTTTATATCAGATTTCTCCCGTCACCACTAACCGCTCTATGTCAGATTTCTCCTGCGACCACTAACCGCTTTATATCAGATTTCTCCTGCCACCACTAACCGCTCTATGTCAGATTTCTCCTACCACCACTAATCGCTCTATATCAAATTTCTCCTGCCATACTCAGCCATCTACTAGAGAAATCTCAGAGTTTTATCAAGTGGAACGACTTTGCTAGAACTGCCGCCCCACTTTCATTTGGGCTGACCTTACAAAGTGAAACTTGGCTAATAGAAGCATTTTTTAATTCAATAATTTGAATAATAATTTAATAAATAATATCAATAATTTAATTTTTTTTAATTTAATAAATTAATTTATTACTTTATTATTTAAATTATTTACTATTTATTTTTTTAATTATGTATTAAAACTGTTTAATATTAAAAATCAATCTTTACTGCCACCTTCAGTTAAAAAATTTGTAGTTTTCTCTTGCTGTACTGTATTGTAGACACAATTTTTCTTAATTCGAATTTCCGGATAAATCGCATTTTTATTGTGAATCCGAATTATCCGAATTCCGCTGCATTCCGAATCCTCTTCCGTTTCTTGCAGGCTCCCTCATCTATCGGCTGCGGGGCTCCGATCCTGACAACGACATCCTGACTTTCGGAGTGCGCGGAGACGTCGGCAGCCAACTGCTCAGCATCCAGTCCGTCACGGAAACCAGGGCGAACGTCTTCCTCAAGGTCGCCCCCACGGTCAGCATTGTTGTTATTATTAATCCGGCGGCAGGGAACCGGCCTGATAAGGTTTACAGTTCAATAACACCCTCTCGGTGCATAGAAAGATGGGATATGCCAATATATACAGGGTGTTTCAATAACCTCGACGAAATGAAAGGGCAATTCAGGCATATGATAAGAATACAAAATCGCATAGGAACATGGGAGCGCAAACGCCATCCGGAGCCGCTAGAGAATGCTGTTGCTTCACACACATACAAAGGAATCAAGCGCTCTGCCAGAAATTCTGACGCTGTTCCCGTGTCTGTGTGTTGTCGCGTTTGCTTTCAGCACGACGGAGATCCAGCACATTTCAGTAGACAAGTTCGAAGACATCTGTGATTCACTTTTCCTTGGTCTGGATTGATCGTGAAGGACTAATCACATGGCCACCGCGATCACCAGACTTGTCCCTAGAGACTTTTTCTTAAGTAGGGTTTTAACATCTTAATCACTTAACTGAATAGTTTTCTTTGCTATCTAATAAGATGACCCCTCCTGTTTTGGAAAGGGGCTGTCGTTTTCATTCATCTAAGAAGGCATAAGGTACTTAAGATGTTCATGGATCCTACATATTTTTTGTGTCAAATTATAAAGCTAATTAATGATTCAATTTTAGTTTATAAGACTAAAATTTCGATAATTCGATGCACGAGTATTCTCGGGCTGTTAAGTTAAGCGGTTAACAGTCGTGCCCGTACGTCGTACGTGCATCGAATTATCGCTTTTGTAGTCGTCTAAACTAAAATATAATCATTAATTAGCTCTATAATTTGACGCAAAAATTACGTTGAATCCATAAACATCTCAAGTATTCTATGCCTTCTTAGGTGAATGAAAACGACAGCCCCTTTCCACCGTATTAGATAGCAAAGAAAATGAAACTGTTAAGGCCTGAACCCTTTAAGGGTCGCATTTTTTTCCTATTTAATATGACCCCTCCTGTTTTGGAAAGGTCGGTTTCATTCATCTAAGTAGGCATACAATACTTGAGATGCTTATGGATTAATGATTAAATTTTAGTTTATAAGCCTAAAATGCGATAATTCGATGCACGTCAACATGACAGGCGCGAGACTTAAGGGGTTAAATGGACTCGCGTACGAAACATCGTCGCAAGAAGACTTAGTAGGGAAGAATCGTTAAGGTAACAAGATGTGTTCGAAACACATCTGACATTTTAAAGAAGGTGCGGCATTCAGTGCAGCATCGATTTAATGCGTGTGTCAGTGAAAAAAATTTGAGCATCTAATGTTGCATTATTGTTTAGAAATAAAATATTGCTGGAAGATTCTTCTTTATCGTCCGTGTATTACTACGTATTATTTTAAATGCCAGATGGTGTTTGTGATACCACGTTCTTGTGTGGTTTTGGATTCTTATTGTATGCCTGAATTGTCCTTTTAGAAGAATGTTTGTGTGGTCTTTTGTATTTTATACAGATCAAGTTTTATCTTGTCGTGATGAAATTTTGTGCACTAACAGTTCCAAAACCAGACGGAAATCGCTATTTATATTTCATTTAGAATGAATACCTCCCTCCTTCTTCTACACTTTTTCAAGCAAAATTTGAATACGCAAAATACGCACTTTTAAACAAAATTAAAACGATGAGGAAATTGACCAAGTGGAAGACTATTTTCTTAAAGGCCGACATTTTTGTTGCAAAATGCAATTAACCTGAACCTAATAGCGTTCTTAGTTCCAGAGTTATTAACAATCAAAGTTGTTATTCTAAAACTGTTATTCTTTACCCTGCTGCGAATGTGATTTACCGTTACAAGTTGCAAAAAAAAAGTTTATGAATTTAGTTGAAATATTACTACTTATATGATGGGCGAATCAGCTGGTCGCAGAAGGCGGTTAGTAAATGTATAAATTAACACAATGTGTTCAGGAATATTCCACAGAGACAACTGTAAGATCTAATGGACGCGATTAAAAGCTTCATCATTTTACACGATGCCATGCTTTCTTTCATGCAGTTTAGTTTTGAAGCAACACGTCAGCTATTTTGGGACGAACCTTGTCATTTTCAACCGCGGTCAGATGATGAAAAAGACAGCTGAGCTGGCATCTCCCTCTCCACACGTCCGTGCAACACCCGCGGGATGACGTTTGACCCCCTGCGTGTATTTTAACGTGCAACAGACCAACATTCACTGCTGATCTTCAGTGGAATCGGGTTTCGAACCTGGAACCTTCTGGCCCCCGAAGCCAATACCTTACCACTAGGCCCCCGAAGCCGATACTTTACCACTAGACCATCGCGGCCTTACTGTCGTGCAGAATATTCATTATGTTCATAATTAGAGCCAGAAATCTTTTTCTTTTTCATGCAATATTTTCGCACCAGGTCGATAGATCTTCAACACTGGGTTTGGTGAAATGAGAAGTTTTCTTCACAGGACAATCAGTTGCACAGTTTGTCTGGCACCTCAGACGCATCGATAGTGGGAATCTTAAACACTGGGTTTGGTGAAATGAGAAGTTTTCTTCACAGGACAATCAGTTGCACAGTTTGTCTGGCACCTCAGACGCATCGATAGTGGGAATCTTAAACAC